TAATCTATATGACTACTGAGGAAAGCATTTAAACAAAATGTAATTCATTTTAATGTTATTCCTTGACCATTACTGTTAAATTATTAACAACAGACCTGTCATGATTTCAGGTTCTTAATTTATCGTTTTGTTGAATTTGTTTACATTAAATAATGTTTAATAGTTTACGGCAGTTGGGGTGCTAGAAAAAAAAGTAAAATAACAGACTATAAATTACATAAATTTACTGGAAATTACAATTTAAGGAAATTTCTGTAATTTAGCATCTGTTATTTTACAGTAAATGTCTGTAATGGACTTTATTTTTCTTTTTTTTTTTCAGCATCCAGCTGCCGCATAATAAAAAGTGAAATAACAGCTTTTTTCAGTGTATGCAACATTTCTAATAGGGCTGGGTGATTAATCAAAAAGTAATAAAAATTAACATTCAGAACCTATAATCAATCAAATTTTTCCAGACTGATTTTTTAAATTACTTTGCCTACCGCGTGTGTTCACGTGACCCTGCTCGGTTTAGCCTTAAGGCTGATTTGTACTTCTGCGGCAACTTTGCAGAAACATCCGATCTCTGGTCAAGTAGGGCGATGGACACATTTTTGACTGTTCGTTTTAGCCAATGAGTGTTTTAATTTAAGTTCTTCAATGTTGATGATGTTCAATAAATAATCATAGTAGTAGATAGTGTGTGTTAGCTTTAGTTATTTTAAAAACAAGTAATGCACTCCTCATTCAAAAATCTCTCACTTGCAATATTCAAGCATATTTACTGAACAAAACTTGTCTGTGAACTATGAGGGCAAATAATATATAGCTTATAACACCAAACAAAATCATTTTATAAATCTCTGAGTAAAATACTTCCAGAAAACGGGTGAGCACTAAAGCTGCTTTCATTCGCTATTACATTTTAAATCAGAATTGTTCATGTGACCAGCAAGAATCAATGACATTTAACCTAGACTATAGCATATCCAAAGGGGAAGCATAATGTGTGAATTGTAAGTATTTCCTGAAGAAAAACCAAGAGTAAACAATACTGAGAAAAGAATGGCATGAATGAGTGAAACAAAGACAAAACTTCTATTACACACAGCAAAAATGAGGATGTTTATGAATAGTTGGTGAGCCGTCAGTCACAGAACACCCTTCATTCCAGCAGTCGAAGAAATTTGGATCCTTTTTAAGAGAGAAATGCTTCTAACCTAACACATGCTTTTCAAGATGAAAGCACTTGAGCAAGGACTGCACTTTTAGAATATGTTTATCACCGCAGAGAATGTTTCTCTACAAGGACAAGGACAGAGTGAATACTAGTAAGTGTGTGCGGGCGCAAAAAAAAAAAAAAAGCATAAAAGACTCCATCTGACATCCCTAACAGAGCAGGAAAACAGTGGGGCCTATGGGACCCCCAACCTCACTTTATGACCATGTGCTGAATTAACAGGTCCAGATGTCCCCTCTCACTTAACATGTGCGAGACATCTCGAGCAAAGGGCTCGGAAGCTTTAGGGCTTATTAAAAAAATATCAGTTTCAATTATACCCATTAACTTCTCGCGCTCCTCAGGTTTACATTTATTTGACATCAACAAGCCTGAGATGTATGCTTAACGCATAAATCGACCAATCGGGCGGCTGCAAATCCACCAGCTTCTGGCGTGGGTAGGGTGAACGAAGAAAGAACAACAAATAAGACAAAAAGTGCTGCTGAAACACCATACCACATATCCGTGAAAGCCTGAGGAATGAGTCAAACAAAGATGAGCCTATTAGCAGACAGATATCAATCTGCTCTTAGTACTTGCTGCTGCAGAAGCATTCAGACGACTCAGCTGCTTGGGCTGTTTATAGTTTGACAGTGTCAGGTCTCTTTGTCACTATAGGGCTATGAGCAGGCGCCTGTGGTTACTGTATCTATTATCAAGGGGAAAGTGCCAACACATTCTTGTAAACAAAGGAGAGTCTACCTACAAGTTCGCCGAGACAAAGCCCAACCTGAAAACGCTTGAGGCGTGCATTCAAAACAATCGGAGCTGTTCTCAGATCTCACTGAAACGAATTTAAGCAGTCAATCACGGATTTGGCTTAAGGTTTTCCAGCAAAACGCGAGGTTAATTACCTCTGCCCCTTCTCCAATTCATTAAGCATAAAGCTAGGCCTGCGATGCGGATGCAGAAGGCCTCTTCTCTCATAGATATGCAGCGTAACACCAGCCAGTTCCATCATGCGAGCAGATTAAATAACATGCCTGCCCAAGCCCCGTCAAACATTCAGCAGCCACCGCACACCAACTGATCCGCTACAACACATTTCATGAAGAAAGCCCTCCGTCAGCCCTGCCACACCACCGTTTGATCAGACTATCGCCCGTTTGATGCTTTTAAGGTGGAGGATAACACACAGAACGCATCTCTGAGATGTGGGGAATTCAGTTGAATGCAAAAGAATGATTCTTTTTGCAGGGAAAACACACAGGCTAAATGTCACTGTGCGCTTAGGCATTAAACATTTAGTAGCCATTCTCGACTGCTCAAGCAAAGAGGCAAGCAGTTGTTAAGGGAGAAGGATGACACAGTTAATCATACACCCACACACTGCAAATGAAAGCCCGGCACTCAGATGTATAATAACGAGAATATTAAAACATACAGCATCCACAAGTCATTAAAAAAAGAAGAGAAAAAAATGAGCAAGAGAGCCCAGTCATTCACTTGAGATGACAAGGACGTTTGGAAACACCTAGCGCTAACTAATTAGCAGCATTCGAATCTAAACAGGAGACGCTGGCTGCTACAAACAGACAGGCTGTGTTCAAATATTAAACTGGCCGTCCATGTATTTTAAAGTAATCTAGCTCAAACAGGTTTCCCTGAGTGTAACAAAAGACAATGAAAACATTCTGTTCCTTGCTGTAGTCTTTAGTTCCTCTGCAGGAGACGCTTCACTAAATGTTTGATTTCTTTCACCTCAGGCTACCCTCAAAGCCATGGCATGTGTAACGGGGGTTTATAAAAGCTTTTCTTCTTGCTCTCTCGCTCTCCATTTTCTATGAACCGAAGGATTAAGACAGATACTCTGTACATAGTTGTTATGATTACAGATTACTGATGTCTATATGTCTCCAGACTGGTCAATTCCATCGTTTAATCCTTTTATTTGTGTGACCATGAGTTGAGATCATGGATTTCTCTGTTTGGGTAACTGATAAAGCTACTAGTAGAGTCTGATTAACCACCACAAAGCGTTTGATACACCAATTACCATCTCACTACACAACTGAGAAGAGGAAACATCCCAATGTTGGGGGATGGGACGATCACTTCTGACCACAAAAGAGTAGGCCCATTTTAGCACAAGTAGCTACATCTCTTACATATGCAAAACATGGCAAGGCTCCTTTAATGCTAACCCTAGGAACTGAACAGTCACATGAAATTCAAGTATGACCAATAAAGCAAAGAGGATATACAAGATGCTTACTCCACAAGCCCAGCATGGAGAACGAGATCAGATAAGGCAGGCTGTGAAACAAAAACAGCTTCAGACAAGTCTTTGTAACTTGCTCTCCTAAAAATTAAGATTCTTTGGTAGCGTTGATGGTTCCAGGAAGAACCCTTTACACCATGACATTTTTTTTAAATAGTATTAAACATTATATAGAGTGAAAAATAGTTCTTTAAACTCAATAAAATCGATATCTAACTACATAATGATATTGATGGCTCAATGAAGGACCTTCATGTTAAACTAAACATAGACAAAAGATCCTTTGTAGCTGAAAAAAGTTTGCTTTTCAAACAAAAAGAAAGTTTTAGGAGTGTGCGTTATTAGATGTTTATTATTATTATGAAGGAATAGTTTTTTGGCAACTAAAAATTGATATTCTATGGTATTATTGTGAAAAGCCAGTGTGGGAAAATAATGTAACAAATTGGTTCTTAAATGACATCATTGAAAAGACACCCCTTTGGAACTTTTATTTTTTTAGACAGTTCATTGATAAATGTATTTTTAGGAGCCTAGCATGTTTTTTTTATGGCGGTAATAGTACATGCGTGTTTTAGGAAGTTTTATTTTAGAAAAAGATTTATTAATAAATTATTTACTGAGAAAAACTAAATAAAACATGCTTTATAGGAACCCAACGTGCCATTAATGTTACAAGCCTGTTTTTGAAATCTTTATTTTTAAAACAAAATCTGTTTTGTGCTACACAAACACAAATAAACGTGCCCAATGATAATTCAGAAACCAAAATAGTTTTGTCTATGGCATTATAGTTAAAACCAATGCTTACATTTTTTTTTTTACACTAAACCCCCCACATATCACCCCATGCTCTTCCCCACTTATAACCGGCCATATTTGTTTCCATCACAGGCCAGGGGTTCATGAGTTTCAAGTTAACAAAGGGAAGTTAGGCAGACTTGGCCGTCCCATAGCAGACTCCAACTGGTCAGGCAGGTCTACCAAAAAGCTCTCCTCCCCTGCTCCCAGGGTTTTCGGTAAACAAAAGGGCCATGTGAAGGAAAAGTACAGAGGGTTGGGGTCACAGCAAATGCACTGCTGTGATGGTGTCTGATAATGCTAAACAGCATGCTTTAATGTATTGAAGATCCTCAGCACCTCCAACTCTAAATGCACCATTTATCCTGCTACCCAAGCATTAATAATTTACTTAATGCTTGAGTTCCTCACTTAATAAAATGGAAACAAACACAGAAGAACTATGGCAGTTGCCAGGCTGAAACTTGATAGACTACTTACTAGAAAGTCATAAAGCATCCTAAAAAGATTACACACCGCTTGTCTCTTTCAACAGCGAGAGCAAAAACATGCAATAAAAAAAACAAGCTGCTGCTTTCAACTTCTGAGCCTGTAGCAATTGCCAACATTCCATCTCAATCCCCCCCATTTACCTTCCCACCCACTCAAGCCCTCTAAACTCCCTCTGTCTTCTCTCTTTTTGTACACAGCCAATGTCGCCAAGGCACTACTCACCCGCCAGTATGATGATCTAAGTTCCTATCGGGCTGCTGCAAACAACTTCAAACACAATTCCACGTCTGTTCGCTGAAAATGACCCCGCCGAACTTCTCGGCCTGGGCCAAAATCCAAGAAGCCGAGGGCTGAGCACTATCGCGCAGATACTTTATCCTGAGAGAGTCGCTGTCCATACAGAGGAGAAACGGGGCAAATGCCTCAACAAAAGACGACCTCGCTTTACTAATTTATTCGCATTCGGACCGCCCGGGGACTCGGTTTTTTTGAACGTATGCGGTTCCCCCTCCTCCCGTTCGCCGTGTGATAACTCCGTGAAGCTTGAGTTTGTGGAGGGTAGGAAATCAGTGAGTTCGGCGTTTACAGACTCCGCTTCCTTTTTCACACACGCGCGCGCGCTCACACTCACGCGCTCCCTCGCTCTCTTCCTCGCGCTTTCTTTCATATACACACACAGCACGTTCGTTCGTTCTCGCTCTCTTTCTCTCTCTCTTTCTGTTTCTGAACCCCCTCCTCCTCCTCTTCAGCTGTTCAACAGACGCATCCACATGGCTGACCTAGTCTTTCTTTATCCAGACACTAGTGAAGGAGAATTACCCCCCCTCCTCTCCACCACACACACTCACCACTTCTAAAAAGCGGGCAAAACAAAAACACGGACTGGATCGTAATGATCACCGACGACGAGCGGTCGGACGGGAGTCGTGATTGATCATAAACCGTAGGGATACACAGTCGGTAAAGAAACTGCATCGGTAAGCAAGACGTTGAGTCCAGATTCACACGGAATATTAATGTCCACGCGGACGACTCCACCTCCAGCAGCTAACAGAAAACAACAGATAGATCATCACTGAAAACACACGCCAAAAAGAAAGATCCTACCGTTCAAATCAAGAACAGATTCCGGCTATTGATTTTTCCTCTGTCCAATAATAATGAACGCCCAGTTTTTATTGCCGTGCTTCGCTGCCAAATGATTGGGGGGCTGAGAACAAAACAACCAGTGAAAATTACACATACATTGTGCGTTGGTGCTCCCATTCGCATTTGCATATTCACATAATGAATTAATTACTCCGTTTCCCCCCCGCCCAACGTGGAAACAGCGTGTATTCACAATTGTGCGTTTAAAAAAAACGTGCATTCTTTGTTGTTGTTGAGAAGTAGAGCTGATTTAGTGTTTCCATATACAGAATAGCAAATCATTCGATCATTGAACAGCATCAGCAGTGTTGTAAAGCTATCAGATATTTCAAGAAATAGCTGAAACATTCGTGGTGATTTCAGACATTTTTGTAAGATCTTTTATTCAGTTTTCTGCAAATATTTGATTTAACGATTCTGAAAATGTCAAGTGGTCTAATCAATTACTAAAATGCTTTCCTTGCATCTTCAATACACATTTGAATATGCATTTGCAAACACATTTTCAAGGAAAAATATCTTTACTAATTCATGAGTTATGAATAAACATGCTTTAGAGCCAAAATGTGCATTTTATAAGGAAAGTCAATGTGCTGTTAAAACAAGTAACCTTGTATAAATGGGTCAAATCTGAAATCACTTTAAATGTTTTTTTTTCTTTTCACATTAGAATATGTTAGTGTTTTCCTGAGCCAAATGAGGGAGGAAAACATGACTTTATCACGATTTACATATGCCACCATGATAAAACAAAAACTAAATAATTGTGATTTTAAAATATAAATACTTTGCTTCTATCCTTCAGACTAGTATTTACCAATTTGTCAGCAACGAAGTTTTGATATAAAATATAATTACTTGGCATGATGACTTTTTACTTCTCAAAATATGTTACACTGAACGATCATTCATTCATTCATTTTCTTGTCGGCTTAGTTCTTTTATTAATCTGAGGTCGCCACAGAGGAATGAACCGCAAACTTTTCCAGCAAGTTTTTACACAGGGGATGCCCTTCCAGCAACAACCCATCTCCTGGAAACATCCACACACACATTCACACACACACACACACACTCATACACTACGGACAATTTAGCCCACCCAATTCACCTGTATTGCATGTCTTTGGACTGTGGGGGAAACCGGAGCACCCGGAGGAAACCCACGTGAACGCAGGGAGAACATGCAAACTCCACACAGAAACGCCAACTGAGCAGAGGCTCGAACCAGCGTCTTTCTTGCTGTGAGGCGATAGCACTACCTACTGCGCCACTGCTTCGCCCACACTAAACGATGATGGATCAATATTTCAACCATATTTTGACATTCAATTTCCTTAACAGTTATTTAAAACATTGAAGTAAACCATCTGAATCCATTTAAAATGCCCTCTACATATAAAACTCCTAAAACAAGACGTTTTTTGTAAAAATAAATGCATAATATACAGTGCTCAGCAAATCTCTCATTTAAATTTACATTTATATAGGATGCTTTACAATAATGTATTTGTGCATCTGTGTTAGATTAGTCAGAATCGAAGCCAAATCTGGAGCTAATCTGACAAAATAACTTGTGATTATGGTCCAAAATTAGTAGCCTAAATTTATATGTTAGGAAAAAATATTGAACAAAAACGTTTAAAAAAAAAAATTGTAAAAAAATAAAAAATAAAATAAAATAGAGCAAAATTAAAAAAAATCAAGAAATGTATAAAACTTTGATGAAATTTTGTAGCTTTTAATTATGTAGATTTTCTAATATTTTGCATGAATGTAAATGTATTATCTTTCTATTTCTAAATTCTAGTTTGGTGACTAAAATATTATTTCAATAAATATATCCATTTATTAAAACTATTTGTTCAATTACACCAAAATAAAGTTTCTGCAGATTTCACTATGTTAACTTTAAGACATTTTAAATACATTTTAGACTTATGCAAGGCTAAATGCTTAGGATTTTTTTAAATCCCAGTTGGAAAAGATTTTTACTTGCCCTGTCAAAAATTATTATATTTTATTACTTAAAAATACAATAATAATATAAAAAAATATAGGTGCGGTCAGAATCCTCAGCAGTAAACACATGGAGAATTTTTAAACAAATATCACTGTAGGGAAGTAATTAAATGCTATTTTTAAATGACAAAGTTAAAAGTTTTATTGAGATTATGATTGTTGGTGATTGTATGTCAATAGCCAGATTAAGTAGCTATACACGAACAAGGAACATTAAGACCTGTTTAAAAAGATTTAGCATGTACAACAAAATATTTCTATAGATTTAAGACATTTTAAGACCCTGCAGATACCCTGATTAATTATTTATTGATAAATGAATAATAACATTCATTTGTAAAATGGGCTGTACTCAATTATGCTGAGCATTGTATAAGACAATGTTTAAATGCATGACAGAAAAATAACTTCCTGCATATTTGTTTTCCCACAATTTAACCCACTTCATTCCTTTCAGTTTAACTAGCTTGCTTTTAGGTCAAAAACTGTAAACATGTTCATCATGGCAGTATTTAATTATATGAATTGCACAATAAACTCAGAAGGCAACAGTGATTCCAGTCATGTCACTGATCTAAATACTACTAATCAAATGTTTCATTGTACGATACCTCAAAATCTAATAAACCAACACACACACACGCATACACAGACAAAGAAAGAGAAAAAAAAGTAAAAAAGATTTTCTCTTCACCAACGTTATATTTGCGGAGGCAGCTAAGATCAATAGGAAGTGAGTTTGGTGTACTGCGGGCCCTTTATTGTGCTGCAAACCATGTAGCCTGTCAGGTTTTCAAAAGGAGGAGGTGTCCCTAGTGATCCCAGTGCTGGCAAACGCTTTCCAGCTCCAGGGGAGCCAGAGACAGTGTGACTTCTGTTTCTCCTGACAATCCTTAGCTCTGCCATGCACCCACACGTACACACACACACACACACACACACCCCAGCAGGCAACCTCCTCCCCTCTTGGAAAGCGTTTGAGCTTCACATTCAGGCGTATTTATTACATTTACTCAAGTGCATCCATATTTATCTCCCCGAGCCGCCCTGATAGCACTTACAATGTGCCCAACAGGAAACCTGAGTCACTTGCTTATGCGAGATCCTCACTGTGCACAGGGAAGATATTTAGAGAATGCAGTTTTCAGAGAGATACCGATCATTGCTATCAGCCAATAGGAGATTAGCTACTGGCTCGTGAGAAAAATACACAACAATGCGTTTGACATGGTGGCAGACAGTTAATTAGCGCTCAGAAATGAATCAGGACGGAAGGTGCGTGTTCGCGGGCCATGTGGGGAATGCCTGAACAATGTATGGATTGTGTTCGTGCGACGAATATTAAATCATCAGGATGTTATTTGCAAACAAACCTTTCTCCTGGATGACTGACGCTCATGATCGACGCGGTGAAGCTAATACGCAAACGCATTCGAATGCTATTTCACCAAATGCACTCGGCAACATAATCAAAACCCCTGTGATGGCTCTAATAAATTTTCAACTAATGCACGCTGAGAGCTCAGACAGATGTATCAAGCGCGAGCCGTGTATTCGGAGGAAATGTAAGCCGTTCAAGTTGCTTTACGAGACTGAAAAGGCAACCAAAATTGTGAATGCTTTGCATTTCATGCACTCAGATGGCTGTTCCGCAGGCATTCGCAACAGCAGATGAGATCCCATTATCAGCCAGACGAGAACTCCACCTCCAGGATTTCACAGCTCCTCTGTTTATCACATGGCCCTGTCAAGTTGGGCACCATTAAGCGATAATGAAAGGAGACAACCGGTGCAGTTACAAGCAAAGCATTCTGCATTCTACAGGCCTAAGCATGTATCTAGGAAGCTGACTGTGTCTATTCAGTTCTGCTCTGCATTCAATAGCCATCACAATGCCTCAGCTACTGTACCCTGACCCCTTCACACCACTGTATTATTCAAGATTTCTGCTTGAGATGACAAGAATTCAAGCAATATTCTGAGTTCAATAAGAGTTAGGATCAATCAACAGCGTTTGAAAAAATGAATTCAACCCATTCGTTCTGTTCTTTAAAAAAATAGAAGTGCATTTATAAAGTAGTGCAACCATAAAATACTCGGCTTCAATAGTATAGCTACAAGATGTAAACAATGTTCACATGATTTTAGAGTAGAAATTACTTATATCACCCTATAGTTCACCCAAAAAATGAAAATCACCTCATTTATTATCTGTTGTGATTTATTTTCTTCTGTTGAACATGAAAGAAGATATTTTGAAGAATGCTGGCTGCTGGGAACTATTGATTTCAATAGTGTACAATGGGAATTTACTAAATTACTATGGAAGTCAATGGGTCAGTGTTTTTTTTTAATGATGACAACATCTTCAACGTCAACATTTTTCAGAGGCATTTAATATCAACAGGAAGTTAGTTTTGAGGAGTGCACAACAAGTAAATGTTTGTGTGCTCCTAAAATGTTTTTGTTGTTGTTTTTGTTGAGGGTTTAAATGAAGTTTTATAATACATGATTAATAGTATATTAATACTGAACATCACAAGACAACTCACACTGCTGACTAGGGTTGTCGCGATACTATTACATCATCTTACAATACTATACTAGATGAAGTATCACAATTCCAAATAGTATAGCGATACTGTAATTTAACTCAAATTATAAAGA